GAAATCGAATTTTCGACCCTTGCCGCGAAATAAAGAATTTGTCTGATTCTTACAGGCAGGCACTCTTAATTGTTTAATAGTGTATATAATACTGCGCCGTGTCTTTTTCCTAATACAGCAAAATCCCGCGTATAAGAACCTTGGTTTTTTCAAGTTAGCCTCCATACCTTCTTATGTAAATGGTGTAAAATTAGGCTACCTATTGTAGGTTCTTAGGTTCAGGTTCTTAATTATTATTTAAAAAAAGCAACTTGCACGCATGCATGCGCATGAGTGTGGCCTTCATATTGAATCATTCACGGTACAGTATTGTGGTCTTATAGCTCATGCCAGTGTCCTGGCTAGTTTTTGTTACCTTATTTTTGTATCGCATGTAATGAACTTTATTATTATCTTAAACTTTAATTTGAAAATAAGAACCTGTATTGATATTTTAGCCTAGAATGGTTCTTATGTGAAGGGTGCTTAACTGGGACGTTTTAGCCTAACAGGTTCTTGAATTGTAGCTTCTTACACACGGGTTTTTACTGTATTGTAAAATGTCGAATTTTTGAGCTTTCATGAAAGGTCAAATAACCGCTGTAGGGAGTTAGTGAAGCTGCTGTTCCTAGCGAGCCCTTCTTCAAAACAAAATCGCCTAGAAGTATTGCGCATCAATGGCAAATTGCTATATCATTCACCATTCAAATCCCGCGATTTGCAGAACAGGAAATCGTGTTGTGAGTGGCTGAACCGAATGTTGTGTTACTTTTGTAAGCTACAGCATCATTCTTCATGTACCCAAGATGCTTAGCGAATATAGTGTTGGCTTGTGTCAGCCATATAAATTGGTGTTGCTTTTTTGCCCCAAGCTACAACCTTACTGATATGCTTCAGTTACATCACCTTGTGACACCAGTACAATAGTTAGTTGCTCGCTCTGTCGCACAGTGGGCATTTGATTGACTTACGTTTAATCCTTGATGTCCCTGTCGGCCAGGCGGTCCGGAAGGTCCAGGAAAGCCCTATATAGTGTAGCAATTATATTTCATCTTTATAAACAAATAATCTGGGTAGACCTGTAAATGACCTCATCCAAAGTAACAATAACAAAGAGGATTTCCCGCTCTTTTGAATGGCTTGGCCTTTTCAATAACTGTGCGCAACAGGCAAAAGTTGCACAGAAATATTTGCTACACCAGCTTAGTTTCTGAAACTATAGAAAGAGGTTCCTGTGTGAAATGAAAAACTCGTTAAAACACACGTATAACATTTTTCAGAGCGATACTCACTGGATCACGCTAATATGTAAGTGTTGTAAATTCTTGAGAACAACATAATCGTCACTAGCTAAGGTTTTATCCCATCACATAAAAATAACACTTAACGTGCTCAACAGTTTATCCAAATCAGAACTATTCAGTGTGAACTGGTTGCTCTGTTCTAAAAAAGCACAGTCTGTATCACACTCAGTTTCTGCGTACACTTATATATAGTGACCTATTACTTTAATTTAAACTAAGGCTTTTCCCAAATACAGGGATTTTCTTTCCAATTTTGTCTCAGGCTATAGAGCAATAATTTACTCACAACTTCACCAGGTTCGCCATCGAGGCCACGTAGGCCATTTTGACCATCTCTTCCCTTCAAAGAAAGAAAACATGACACGTGTTACAGGAATTGGTACATGATGGCAAGCGCGGGCCAATGTGTGGTTCCATAAATGTCTTTACCCAACTGGGATAATAGATCTCAGAGGCCAAAGCTTTTAAAAGAAAGTATGACGCCACATTGGAACTCCCAGAGGTCTTCCTGAAAGCAACAGCTGAAAATCACAACCATAAGCTTGTTCTTCAAAGTTTGGAAGTCAACTGGTTTATCAGTCAGTTACAAAAACAAGAGTGTGTTTAGAACGACGTTATGAGATTTTCTAAATATTTGCTGCCGTTGGTGTTGCTTTTGCTGCCATATACTGTTAGCCTGCGTTGCAACCGGACGTGTCATAAAATCTCCGATATAGTCCGGTTTAGACTGTTTGCGACGAAGGCTACATACTGTACGAGTAAAATCTAAAGTTGTTTAAAATACAGAATAAGTGGAACAACTCACCGGCACGCCAGGGTCTCCGGGCTTTCCTGGCTTCCCGTATAGTCCTCTGGCTCCCTGAAAGATCACAAAAAAATATGGCTTATTACATCAAAGATTATACATCAACATGAAATAACATCAACATCAACTCAACATCCACTGAATTTGCTTTCACCCAGTACTTACCTTTGTGCCGGGAATTCCGGGATTACCATCTACTCCTCTTTCACCCTCTGGACCCTGTAAAAAATGTAAAAAAGGAAGTGAGACTCAAAGTCTGTTTCCTGGAAAAAGAAGGAACGGCAGGCAGGCATGCAGGAAGGCAGGAAAGCAGGAAAGCAGGAAAGTAGGAAAGCACGCATAAGGGAAGGCAGGCAGGCAGGCAGGCAGACAGGCAGGAAGTATTTGCTTACGACGGGTCCTTGTGCTCCTGGTCTACCAGGTAAGCCAGCTGGTCCTCTCATTCCCTGAAAACAAATGGCAAAAAAGTTTAATTGAAGCAATATAAATAACTAATCTTTGCCAAACTATTTGCGTCGGTTTCACCGACTGTCATGAAATGTTCAAGGAGTTGCGCGCATCCCGATTATTTATTGAACATGTTGAGGTATATTAGATCTGGAGACGAGTGCCTCCCATTTCGCTGAGCATTTATCTCGTGCTCTTAAAAATCTCCCGTGCATATACATCTCGGCATCTCAAGGTGGCGTTAAATGACCGCAAGGCCGCGAAGCTCTGTAAGATAACTCCACTGTATTTCCTGTATAATGTTTTCAACCGTGACAAATTAATACGCGAGTCCAACAAGGTTTGTGCGGTTGTCTAGGTCTGAAGTTTGACCGTTAGTGACGTTCTTCCCCTGAATTAAGCTAAAATGTATTTTACGTCCCCCCTTCCCCGCCGCGAAAACAAATTGGCAGTTACCCCTTTCGCTAGTCGTCTTGTTGCTTTATCATTTCTAATCTTATGCATTAAGATAAATTTGCCATTCATACAAACAGAATATAAATCTAATATTCTTTGACATCGATCACTTGAATTGATAAGAATTTAGTTTTGCATACCGTGGCACCGGGCTTTCCTATTTCGCCATCTTCTCCCGCTGGTCCTCGCGATCCCTGAAATATTATTTTTAGATACGTTGATTGAGTTATCAACAGTTTGAATAAGAACAATAATTATGACAGTAAAAAGTTGTAAGGCGTTGTTCATCTCAGCACTTTTAGTATACTTTTTTCCAAAGTAATTGAACAATGCATTTTCCTTTTGCAAAATCTGTAGGTTACATAACAGTGACAGTGACAGTGACCGTGACAGTGACAGTGACATTGACATATTGACAGGTTGACATGCTGGCATGTTGACATATTGACATACTGACATATCGCCATATTGACATTGACATTAGAAGTGGCAGTGGTAGCGAAAGTCACAGTCACAGTGGAGTCACAGTCACAGTGGTAGTGAAAGTGATAGCGGCAGAGGTAGTAACATTATCACCAGCAGAATCAGTAAGTTGAATAACAGTAGTAAACTCTCACCAGACCGCCAAGTTCTCCTTTAGTACCTAAGTCACCCGGTCGCCCTTTAGTACCCTGGTAAATAAGATAAAAAAATAAAATCCTACCACCCTATTATTTTACTACTCTTCTATTCTGTATGATTGGCGTCCTTTCTTTCCACTTGCTCTCGCAAGCATGCCTGCATAGCTGGCCGGTTTTCTCCCAGGAGTGCTTTGTTTCGACGACGGAGCCGTGGAAGCTAGGGGCAAAGCTGAGAGGAAAATTACCGTCCTCCTCATTTCTTAATTTTTGAATGCCACCCAGGCACTTTGCCAGCTTTTTTCACACATTTAAATTAGCCAATGAAAGAGAGAAATTTGAGAATAGCAAAATAACCGAAACATATTTTAGCCACTAAGTCTTCTCAGATTTCGAAGTTCAATACATCAGCAAGAAGCAAAAGCGAATGCAGATTCCCCAAAGCAAAATAGTTTGGAGTTTCAGACGAGTTAAATAGCTAAACACCATCCCAACTTCAGTTCCGCCGCTGAAACAAAGCATCTAGGCACACTGGCCCCCTGTAGCTTAGTAGTGCCGGCGTTCATCTGTTGCGTGGAGAGTTGATTCTTCTATTCAGGTTTGGACGAGATCCTTTTCCTTGTTGCATGGCTACGGATTGTTTTGTTGTTGCATTAAAACTGCAGATGAAGTAGCGGAATTACTGAAGAACCTAACACATACCTTTACTCCTTGAGCTCCTTTCTCCCCTTGTTCCCCGCGCGGCCCGGGGGGTCCCTAAAAAAAATAGAATGTGCGGGTGCAAATCAAGTGAGCTCCAATGAACTCCGAGTTGTGCTACAGTGAAATGCACTTTAAACGTTTATCTTCTGAAGGCTGCTTGAACGCGAGACTTTCTTAAGGGGAGGCTGGAGGAACGACGGGGGGAAAGAGTACATTGGCTGGGAGGTGTCCAACGTCTAAAATCTGGACTGATATTGCGCTGATTGGATAACACGTCTTTTGAGTGAAAAAGACGAGAACAGGTAAAAAAAACACCCTTCCTATTGAACACTCGCGTTTCCTGCTTAAGACTTAGTTTTTCTTAAGGAGGTTTTGTGGCATCGACCATTTAAATGATGGCGGGATCATAAGCTCAAAATGTTTATTAAATTAAATTGAGTAACTTAACTGTATTCCAGTAAGCGAGACAACAGACAGGCGACCATTGTGTCAACACCAGTAAAGCGTTAACCGTTTCATTTCACGTCTACTGATTTAAATATGATTTTTTGATTTTTTTGTTGTTCCTTTTTTGAACAAAATTTGACATTGAAAGCGGTTCTTTTGTTACACGTACAAAACACAAAGTTACTTTTTGACAGGTATTGTCTTTAAAGCAATAGCTACCTCTCGCAATTGCCAGTACGCATAACTTTTTTTCAAGCTTCTTGCGTTTAATTATAATAAAAGATCGTACGAGCTCACTGTGCATGGTAAGAATAATGCGGAGCAAATTGAGACTAGTAAGCTAAAATTTAGTAAGCCAAGCTCTCTTTCAGTTCCGTAAACGGTTTGTCTCACGAATAGCTGTTATCTTTAAAATTCTTGTTCCTAGGAAATCAGCATGCACAGTTTGTCATAGTTGGCATTGTTTTGTTTGAGTCTATGTGCAGCTTGGGTAAGCAATGTGCAATCGCACAGGTTTTTGGTAGCAACAGCAATAATATATATCACCCTAAAAATCGAAATAAAGAGATCTTTGTCAACTTTCAAGGAATCCGATTGAGTTATTTAGTGTTCACTTTCGAGGAATCCGAGTGAGTTATTTAGTGTCAACAATAAGTGGCGTCTGATTACTCAATGCGTTAAATTAAATTCTATGCCTGTAATTCTTTATTGACTTTTTTTTATGCTTTTTATACTGGTCACCGATTAATACCAGTCAATTTATATCTTGATCGACTGACCGGTCTTTACCAGGATAAATAAAGTTATTATTATTATTATTATTATTATTATTATTATTAT